CCCCAAAACCCCAAAACCCCAAAACCCCAAAACCCCAAAACCCCAAAACCCCTTGTACAATTTTAATAATTGAATATCTTAAGAGATGGAATCCGAAAACCAGTTAGAAGGCATTGTGAAAGAGATCTTTGACGCTCACCAACAACTAAGAAAAGATCCCAAAAGCTTTATCCCAGTGCTAGAAAACATTAAAAGTCATTTTAATGAGGACGGAAAGCTACTAGAACTTCCAGGAGCAACTCCTGTAATGCATCATGAAGGAGTCATTGCATATAATGAAGCTATAAAGTTCTTGAAAACTCAAAAGCCAGTCATAAATGAATTCTACTTTAATGACCTGCTTCAACAATCAGCCAGAGATCATGCAAATGATATTGGTCCTAAAGGGATGACCGGTCATACAGGCAGTGATAAGAGCACTTATGGAGAAAGAATCGAAAGATATTGTAAATGGGGAGGTGCAATTTATGAAAGCATTGATTATTCAAGATGTGAAGTCACTGGAGAGCATGTCGTCGCCAAGCTAATCGTTGACGATGGCATTAAGTCAAGAAACCATAGAAAAGTTATCTTCCAGGCTGACTACAAGCATATTGGTATTGCAGAAGCAGACCACACAGAATTCGGAAGAGTCATTGTTATTGACTATGGAGCTCAAATTATCTCTCATAAAGATTACGAGGAGATGCAGAAGAAGCCTACTATTGAAGAACTTAAAAAGGAAGCTTCTGTTGATATCAGTAAAATAAGCTGGCCTGAAGTTTCAAGGAAAATTGCTGAGGAAATAAATAAAGTGAGGAAAAATCCTAAGCATTTAATCAAACAAATGGAAAGATCTTTAAGCATGTTCAAGAAATACAAAATCCTATCTGTCCCTGGAAGAGAAACACGAGAATTTAAAGAAGGAGCTCCTGCATATATCGAAGCTATTGAGTTTTGAGATAAACAAACACCTGTAAAAGAAATAAAAATATCTCAACATTTAAAGAAAGCAGCCAAAGATCATATCAAAGACCTCGAAGAAACAGGAAAGTTAGCACAAATTGGTAGTGATGGAAGCACTCCCAAAGATAGAATGGAAAGATACACTGGAGTTGATGGTCTCTGGTCTGAAAATCTCATCTTTGGTGGTTTCAAGCCTCGAGAAATTGTTGAGTATATGCTCGTTGCTGATGGTGATAGAAGCAGGGGTCTTCGTAAAAATATATTCAACCCTAAGCTCAAGTTAATGGGTGTTGCATGTGGGCCCCATCCTGCATCAGGCTCTGTCACAGTTGTTGATTTCGTGACCAAAGAAATCGGAGTTGGTGAGATGCCTTCGATTCAGATTGAAAGTACTGATGAAATACCTGAAGAACTGCAGAAGAAACTCGACGCCATGGGTATCGGTCACAAAGTCACAGTTGCTAAAGGTAAAGGCACAACTGTCACATCTGTCAAAGAACAGGAAGTTGTCAACAAGAATGGTCAGGTAAGCTTATGATTGAGTTTGAGGACATTGTGTGTCCAGCATCACAAACATGTTGTGACTCTGACATTGGCTACAGACTGAAACGAACACAAAAACCCGGCCTTGGACAGCTCGTCCGACCAAAGCCAAATCAGCTGCACTTGAAACCAAACGCACCACTAAGCCAAAGCCAGCACAGAAGAAACCAGAAATTCCAAAGTTCGGTAGAAAGAAAGCCAACACACTCTCCAAAGCTCAGGGCAGTGCAGCTCCGAAAGCTGCACAGACTCCGCAGCCTGCGAAGCTTAGAAAAGGAGTCTCAGCGAGGCCTGGTGTTGGAGTGCCCACATCAAATATCAAGAGGCCTGCTGCTCAGGCTAGAAGAGGCACCGCTAAAAAGCCAGGCACAGCTGTGACACGTATTGAAGAGTCCAAGTATGAGCAGATGCCTGACAAAGTCAAGCCCGAAGACCTTGAAGTGTTCAGTGACTACTCATACGACAGAGACACAGATGTCGATAAGCCAGAGGGGTTGAAGAAGGTGACCTGAACCACACAGATCTTGGAAAAGGATGAGAAAAGGGAGATGATAATACGCAAGCAGTACTATTTGGAAGATGGAACAGAGCTGAGAGTGAAGAGCATCCTACCTGTCAAGAAGAGAGATAAGGTTTCTTCTGAGTAAAATATTGCTCTCGAATATTATTAACATTTATCTTGAATGAGGGGTTTTGGGGTTTTGGGGTTTTGGGGTTTTGGGGTTTTGGGG